CCAACGGGGGTCAGCCCCAGGTGCCACTCGTGCATCCTTCCAGGGTCGTGGCCATGGCATAGCCCCGAGGCGAGGGGTGGCCTCCCGCACCCCACGGTGCAACGGGAAACGATGGGAGGGGACGAGTGCAGCTGAGTCAGTCTTAGGGGATTTTTCTTTAGGTGGTTCTTTTCCTTGTTGTCCCCTTCTGTGCATATATATAGATAACATATATTTGAGTATTTATTTTTTTTAATGTATCTTCACCTATAAAATAATTGTTCTCTTCTGCAAGCACAGGTCAGACACTCATCACAGTGAAGTGTGGCTGTACAAGCAGTTTAAGGGAGGGCCATGTGTGCTGGGTCCAGTGCAGCAGCCCATGCATCCCCAAGCCCTTCTTTTAAAGAGGCAAAAATTAACACAGCCCTCCTGGGTCTGAAAAAAAATAAAAATCTGTGCTGGGCACGAAACGAGTCAGAGTTGCCCTCCCAGATTTAAGGAGCACCTGAGAAACAAGAGTCAGTAGGTGTATAACTCACACTCCCCCAAATACACACTTTTCATCTTCTTTAGACAAAAATTGTGCACACTTCTTCATCCTTATAAACTGTGTTCCATTATAACTCAGTAAATCAGTGAGGCTGAGACAGAGCCAAGAGGGGAGCCTGAATTTTGGTTTTGGTGATGTAGTCCTAAAACTCTTCATCCAGTGCCCCACAGCGGGGCTGGGCCAAGGGTCTGTTTTGGGGTTTGGGAGTCCAAGGGATGCTGGTGTTCCCCCCCCAGCAGCACCTTGTGCCACTGGCCAATGGCTTGTCCAGCAACTCCCACACCGGAATTTGGGCATTTTCCCACTCACACAGATTCAGAGCACGGTGTTGAAACTGGTTGCTGAGCCCAGCTGGCAGTGGAGGCACAGAGGTGAGCTGGTCCAGATCACATCAAATCATGACTTTGCCTTCAATGCTTGGCTTCACTTTTTTTAAATTTCTTTTTCAGTCTGTGCCAGCAGGGTGGGCAAGACATGACTTGCGCCTGTTGGTGGGCGAGCATGGGCTGGGAAGGGTCATATCCGGGTTCGGGGGGGCCCCGGCGCCCTCCCTGTTTTGCCAGCTTAAGCAGCGGAGCAAACTTCTCCCGGTGTGGGCTTCCTCGAGGCTTGAGCAGGCACAGCCACCCCGAGCATGAGTCACGGCAGGTAAGGTGGCACAGTGCCGTGGCACTCGCTGCCTGGTGCCCGGCTCCAGGGGCAGGCGCCGGCAGGATTGCCAAGCTTTTTAGGGCAACCCCGTTCTGAGGCAGCTGCCGGGGTGGCTCGTGCCTCACCTCTCAAGCAAGAAGGCTGCTGCGTGCATGGCTACTGTTTTTTTGTTTTGTTTTGTTTTTTTTTTTTTGTTTTTATTTTTTGTTTGTTTGTTTGTTGTGTTTTTTGTTTTGTTTTGTTTTTTATTAAAAAAGCATTTGCTGCTGGAGCACGGAGCTGCCAGTGGCCCAGGGGTGCAGCCACAGCGCCGAGACGTGCCGGGTTACCCGGTACAGGCTGTGAAGCTCCCACCTCTTCCCCGAGTGCCGGCAGCTGCCTGGGCTACCCAGAGCCTGCTCCAAAGGCACGTGGGGCTTTCCCGCCTGTAAGTGGAGGGCCAGGATTTGGGGTGAGGGGGGAGAGGGACAGAGGGGAGAACATTCCCCAGCTTGGGCTGTCGTTAGCTTTTATGCCTGGTGGAATAATTGATGACCTATTTGCTGTTATCAGAGTATTTGCTCCGAGTTGAGTCCCTGCTCGGGAAGCTTTGCTGTGTGGCAGCACGTGTGGCAGGGAGCTGTGACAGCTGATGGTGTGAACACCCTTAGCGGTACCAGGCTGTGCAGAGGTGGGCAGAGGCTGGCCAGGGTTGCTTCTGGCTGGGGTGACCAACTCCTCTTTATTGTGCAGGATGTGCTTTGGGAACGCAAATTGTTATGGCTGAGTAAGAATTAAACTATTAAAAAATTATATCTATAAATTGTGTGGCAAGTTTCAGAAGTCGTACCCACTAACATGACTTACTGCAGCTATTTTGTAGACAGCCCTTCTGGCAGGGCACAGAGAAAACAGGTGATTACAGCTGAATAAGGAACCATCCGTTTGTGGTTTTCCCTGTGCTGACCTCTGTGTTAGCCAGTTGCTGCTAATTCATGCACTTTGAGTAGCAACTAATGCACATAAAATCCCATGCTGGTTCCAAACCTGTTTTGATTTAGTCAAAAAAGGTCTGCAGATATACCTCCCAGCTGAGGAAGCTGCTGTACTGGAGAGCTCTTCTTTCATGTTGTACAGTGGAGCACAGAATACTGTGGGGAAGGAGGAGGGTGAAAATGGTCACAGGGCTGAAGCCGAAATGAAAACATACACCTATTTCCAGTTAAATCCCTATTCAACACTTCTTTTTTTTCCAGGACATACAGGACTTTTCCAAGAAAGCCATGAGAGGATTTCTTTTTTTTAAATGAAAAACTGCAATTTTAGGAAACAGCATTCTGGACCTTATGTACATTTCTAGTATCACTTCCTCTATATTTTTAAGCTGAAATCCTCTTAGCATGCAAAGTAAATAGATTATGATATACTGAAGGATTAAGAATCACTGTCTGGTGTCAGATTAATCCCTCATATAGACCATCACTTGTACTGACAGAAATATGGCTGCAATTCAGCAAAATAGCTGTATGGCAAGGCAGTGTGTCGTAGCCTCTTACGCAGAACAAGCCCTCCGTCATCGTGGTCCGTCGCTGTGCTGTGTGTCCTTCAGAAATTAAATTTATGGGACATTAAAGGCATCTTCTTTTACAATGGCCATTGCCATTATGGCTCTGTGTGGGGAGGTGATGCAGCAGCCTGCTCTGTTTCAAAGCTCTCCTTGTTTATTTTTCCCTGTTAGGTGTACAGAATCCCATGGATTGCAGCCCCTTTGCTCCCTTCAAACCACAAACCAAAATGTCTTTGAATCCTTTGAATGCACTCATGGAAAGGTGCTGACTGGGATGAAGTGCTAAAATGGTGCAACCAAAATCACCCATCAGGCAGCAGAATTTTGACCCATGGGGGGAAATGGCTGGTGACAGCAAGCCCAAGTATTTTATTTGGGTGAATACAGACTTTTGGTTAATAAAATACTTCTAATGGCTTGTGGATTTCTTTATTTTTTTCACATTTTGCTTTTATTTTCAGTTCCATCATACAGACTTGCTCACCATATAAAACCAATCTGAAGAAGCTCACTGGCTCTAGGTTGCAGCCACCCAATGCTCCCCAAAAAGCTCAGTCTTAACCCACACGTGCCTATGGCTGAGCACAAAAAATCTGTGTCCGTATACTCTGCGCTTGATCAAACGGTGGGAAGACAGACCCGTGATGATGCTCGTCCCTCTCTTCACTGCCAGGAAAAAATAGAGGGCTGGAACAGGTTACGTTACCTTCTCAGTGCATTTTTTCTTTGTGGTTAGAGGAGGCAGATTAAAATCTGGACTCCAATGGAATGATGTTTAAGAGGCTCCGCATCTTTTTTTCAAGGCAAAATAATGGTTATTCAACTAAGATGATATATCTAGATATGAAAATGGAGAGCATTCTTTGAAAAATGCTGCCAACTGTGAAAGGCTGCTCTTTCACAGAGGTATCCTGAGTGAAGATCTTATCTGCTGGTATCTCAATAGGACGGTTTTCAGAGCCTTAAGTGGAAATTCAAATCTGCTTCCAAGTGAAGATTGTAAAAACATATAATGCATAGAGAATTACAGACTTCCTCCTGAAAAGCTTATGGATTCATCCAAGAAAGGCCCCCAAAAATTTTTCAACATTGAGTTTGTACAGTAAATGGGTATCAGCAATTACTCCCTTTTTTGATGTCTTTAAATGACATGATGAAAACGTCACCAAGTTGCCCTCCACAAGCACACATAAAGGCACTTTGTGCATGGACACGTTCATGTGAACTTAGAAATAATTTGGAAGTCTAAGGGCAGGATATTTTCTAAGCCTGTTGTCTTGTCATCTGCTACTGGTCAGATCCAGGGCTGGCTGGAAGTTTGCTGAAGGACTTCCCGTGAACTTCACCACCTCTTCTCTGCTGTGGGAGCTCAATCACACCAGACCAAAGTGCACAATTTGGAGAGACCCGCTGTCTCTGGTCGCCTGTGGGGGAAATACAGGAAGGATCAGGCAGGCTGCAGGGACAGGCAATGAGGGACAGAAACACAGGTATTGGAAATACCATCCCAATCCAGGGAGATGAGACAATTGCAGACACGGTCCCATTTTAGCCTGGGAATAAAGGATGCAGCCCTAAGCGGTGGAGCTTGCCTTGTGGTTCAAGGTAAGACACCTCTCACATTTTTTTAAGCCTACCTTCACAACCCCCCACCCCTGCTGTTCCTGGAAAAAACAGGCACTGCAGCTCCAGCGACTGCTCACAGTGTCTCCTGGGACGTGAGAGGCTGGGAGCTGAGGCTCCACCTGCCTTTGAGACCCCTTACCTGGCGCCTGGAAGCTTATTGGTGAAAGTGAAACTTTAGATTTTTGTTACCTTTTAATTAAAATATATTGCAAACAGCACAAGGCTGGGCCAATGCCAGTGGGTAGCCAGCCAGGTTTCCCAAGTTATGTGGGGATGGCATTTTGCATTCCACATACAATGCAAATACATGATTTAAGCACAAAGCCCTATCCTGCACTCGGGGTGGAAACTCCAGCCCTCTGGTTTTGCAAAGGACACAATGATGGGGAGAACGTGTGCCACAAATAGAGGTTATTTCATAACACAGGCTAGCGTGCCTGCGAAATGCATGAAATACTTTGCCTTGGAAAGCGATGTAGTCTAGTGAGTCATTGCTTTCTTTTGAATTACAGATGAGTAGCCAGCCCTTCATGATGCAAAGAAGAAAACTAGGTGTGGAGCTGGAAACAAAGGGAAACGTGTGTTTGTCCTGTCTCGGAGGGCAAAACGCACCAGCTGGTGTGGGAAGAGTGGGTGGGCTTGGCCCCAGGAGGTGGCTTTCAGGGCTGTGTCAGGCTGCACAGGTGAGGGCAGACAGGACTCGTGAGTGATTCCCTGGCTCCTTGACTCCAGGAAAGATGAAAAAAAAAAAAAATCACTTAACTCTTGAAGCTTCATAAGGAACCTTTACCAGAGCAGCAGCTCCATCTCATGGCATGTGCATTTCACCACAGAGATAGAGATCTCCCTCCAAAACAGCATTCCCTGGTACAACCTCCCTACCTCAGCATGGAGGGAGCAGTAAAAGTGCAATGGCTCCAAATAAGCACTGTATGAAGCACTCCAGCCCATTGCTTGGCTCTTCCCTTGCAGGGAGATGGTGAGACGTGGCCCGGGAACAATACAACCCCTTGTTAATTCTCAGAGGTAATTTGAAGACGACAAGAAAGTGTCCCCAGTGTCTCATCCGAATCAGTGCTTGCATCCCAGACCCCACCAGGTTATTCCAGTGTGGAAACTTGAAGCACTGCCTCACCACTGAGACTTCTTAGCTCTCTTCAAGGAGGTTGTGAGGTGCCTTACTTGGTAGCTGTCTTCCTCCCCCCAGTCCTGGGGTTGTGTCTATGTGCCTTGGGTTTTGGGTGGCTTCAAGCTTTCTGTGGGCTCTCCTTGCTCTCTGAACGACACATGTTGGAGGCTTCAAAAAAACCATGATTTATTTTTTTTCTTTTTATTCAGTAAAGCCCTGAGGAACATCAGTGATTGAATGTGAGGAAGGGGCGGCTCTTTTGCCCCTAGAGCTGTGTCAGGGCCTGATGCAGAGAGGTTTCTGCTGGTGGTTGCATTGGGCACCAGGAGAATAGGTGGGAAGGTGAATCTGGGCTAGGAAAAAACCCCACATCATGTTTGATCATATAGAGTTCAAGGCTGTTTGGGTAGGCCACTGCAGTTCAAGGCTCAGGGTCCTGAGTGCATCAGGCTCTCAGATAATTGACCTGGGGTTTGTGATTTGTGCCTCTGTCTGGGGAGAGCTGAACAAGAACTCAGCTCTGCAGACCTACCTACTTGCTTTTTAAAAAAAGCACTTTTCAAAAAAATCCTATTTGCAAACCTCTCTGGTCACACGAAAGAAGACTTGACGGTGTCGTGTGGGAAGTCTGTGATGTGGCATCAAGCTTGTAGAGGTATTTAATGTTAATCAAAGGCTGAAGAGTAGTAATGACTGGAAGCCTCTTCTGATATCTGCATCTCTTCTGATGCAGCACCCCGGCAATAAAAGACACCGTAATAATTTGGTGAGAGTTGATTTTCATAGTGCAGGAAGATGGGTGTCCAGGAGCAGGGGAAGCCAGCACTGCTGTGCTGCTCCCTATGGTGATGAGCCGCTAGTCATCTAGAGAAGGAAAACATGAATATCCTGACAGGAGAGCATCTACTCGTGCCCTGGAGAGTTCAGATCGCGGGGCTTTGCATGGTAATGATGTGGTCCCGCTCCGGCAGGCGAAGGGAGGAGTGGTAGGGGAAGGCACACCCTGTAATTGAAAAGCCACTAAGTCATCTCAGACCTGCAGGGATAGCAGGATGGAGGCTGTGGTTTGCTCTGTCTCCACAGGTCTGAGGCAGAATGGAGGATCCTTTTACTCTTCTGTAGTGGGAAATGGCTCCCAGGAGGCTACGCTTTTCCTCCCGGGGATTATTCGCAAGGGCACGATGAAAGTGGGAAAGGACAAGAGTGGGAAAGAGAGGAATAAATGAAGGAGCCACGGGGAATTATTTTAAACACCTGTTCTTTTCAGATGAAGATTGCCCGATTCCAGGCTGCGGGAACGACGGTGTGGAAGGACATGCCTGATGCTAGGACCCATAGGTACTACTTTTCACTGGAAATGCCTTGTTTCCCTCGAATAGCATCACATAAAACCATTCTGGCTGACAGATATTCATCTGAGTGGTAACATATTAAAACAACCATTTGGTAGTCATAAGGCACCATTGACTTCAGCATCTTAAATTACCATATATAAGATCAGTCTCTGGTCCAGAAACAAGAGAGTAGTTGAGATAAATGTTTTCCAAAGGGTCTTGTTTTTACCAAGGCAGGTGTTTTTACCAAGACTAGGGTGTTTGGAGCCTTGGTTTTGCTTACGTAAGTCTAGGTGCTGCTAAATGGAGACTCTTTGAACTAGCCTACACAGCTTGCTCAAGATGATCAAATCCCAGAATAACACAGATGAGGAGGGGCCTTTGTTTTCAGCCTGCTCAGAGCAGCAAGACTAGGCTGGGTCTCGAGCAGGATGGTCCTCCAGGCTACCCTAATCTCATCTCCAGCCTTTCCTGGAAGACAGGGCTGAACAAATCCTGAGCACTCCAAATATTGTGGATGAGATGCACACTTCTCATTTGCTTCAAGCCCTGAGGAGCCATACCCAAGCAAGCCATGCTCAGGGCAAGAAAAGCTGCAGCTTATCCTCACTCCTCTGGCATCTACCTATGCTGACCCCACTTTCGTCCTCAGTGCTGGGATCCTCTGGCCGGTGCCAAACCAGCGTGGCAAAGGTGGTTTGCATTCATCCTACCTGTGATCTGAGACCACCACAGCAGCCCTCACCCGTCATCACCCTCACACCCAGGGGCTGCAGGCAGGACACATGTCACCTGTGCTCGTGCAAAGCCACCGGCACTGCTGGAGGGACACGGGTGGCCCCCGTGGCAACAGGGTCTTGCCTCTGAGCCACTTCTCTCATGCTGTAGGGCTAATGCTTTCCTCCAGAAACAAATCTTGTTCAACAGCTTGAGCACTGCTTGGCTGTGTGACAGCCAGCTGCTCTGGCAGGTCACTGGGAACAGTTTGTTGCACGATCTTTAGAGTTTCAGGGAGGAGAAGCTTCCTCATAGCTGAGAGAGCAGCGAGTAAGGAAGACACGTGCTATGGTGCCCCTACAAAGGATAGGGCCCGTATCAGATACATCCCCACTGAGGCCTCTGTGGCCATTTGCACTGGCAATAGGTCACTTCTGGCCCCAGACTTTCACCAACAAACTGGCAAAGGAGGGCAAAGCAAATCCTCCGTCTCGCAGCTGCAGGGATCTTCCTGCAGAGTTGCCTGTGCAAGAAGGGCCGGGTTTTGGGTGTGCTCCCCTTGGGTGGCACCAAGCCCAGTATTGTGTGAGTTCCCTCTGAAGCAACATGAGGGAAGTGGTGGCAGGGGGATGCCAGCTCAGGGAAGCAGGAGGGTGAAAGTGGGACCCTGGGAACAGGCTGTCCACCAATGTACTGATGCAGCAGGCTGGTGATGGTGTCCAGGTGAAGGGCTGCTGCCTTCCCTTGGTCCAGAG